AAGATTGTAAAGGTGGGCTTGGAGTTTTTCCATTATCAACGGAGAAAATGTTTTTCGTGGGGGTGATTCGTTGAGGAGTGTCATAAAGTAAGAAATGCTACTTTGTATTAGGCATCTTTTTATCGGACTGATCAGGTACATGAAATAGGCAGCAAAGTGTTGACGTCAAAGCCTCCTTAACATATACGAGGTTGCATTTACTCCCAGTGGCATGTTTAATGCCTTTCTGGAATAAGCGGCTTCATTTTGGTTTCTGGGATTTCTGTTGATCTTTCTCACCTCGTATGCTGATTTAAAACTGTAAAATCCATCAATCTACTAACGGGTTATCTACTCATGTGTGAGTACTAACCCGATCTAACCACCTTGATTTCTCAATTACTTTGAAGTATACTACTACTTAAAAAATTAAGTAGACTTTGCTCCGATATTTGCACTGACTAAAGTTCAATTTTGTGTCTCACGAAGCGGCTAAAACCGAAGCGACGGTAATGAACTCCATCTTCTAGGCCAATTTTGATCCCACCGCCTGGGAGAATTCCAAACGTTTTCCCTGGGTCACACGTCACGTGCATCGATTGGGAGGCGTCTTGTGATGGCGGACGAGAGAGATCCTAAGGCAGCGAAAAAGGAGCGCAAGTATCCCGACGATGATCTCTGGCCCCCCACTTCCAGCTCCGCCAGCACCATGGCAACTAAGCTGGGGGACTTCCCCCAGATCCAATTTGAACCAAATCTTGTTGATTGCGCGGAGTCGTGCGGCGTTAAAATTCCCCAAGGTTTGGCCATTGCTATGGTGATGCTAAGGAGCAAGCATGTCGACCACTTGGAGATGAAACCACCACACAACTTCCTGCTTGATCGAGCCCCTCCACTCACCGATAAACGCAAGGAGCAAATTCGACAGGTGGCGCTGTGGTTACTCGACATGACCCGTACAGTGAATGAGAGCATGGAGTTCCTGGAGCCTGCAACAGCTCACTTCACATTGCAGGTGATTCTGGAGATCGTGAGGCTTATTAAACCCTGTCCACTTCCCATTTCTAATGCCAGCTGTGGGCTTATCAAGTATATAAGCTTCTTCCGCGATGGGAATCCCATCTATAAGGACGAGTTGGAGGCATGGACACTGACTGCTGTAGAGCTTTCGGATGGCGTCACCACTCCGAAGGATTGGTGCATGGATCAGGAGTACTATCTATGCACCTACACAAGAGAGACACAGATCTGTGCCCTTAACCTCTTCAACGCCTCCCTCTACTTCGATGCAGAGAAGATAGTCAACAAAAAACTTCGTGATTGTGTCGCCTTCATCATTGTCAATGCAATGCATCTAGTTCGCGCCTACTGTAGCGTCACAACTCCCTGCTTCTGTGCGGAATCAGATCCACTGTCCGTGATTCAAGCCGCTAAATCACGACCCGCCTCTGTAAAACTCTTCATTCAACGCCTCTCCGAGGAGATAGCCCCTGTGCTATTCGATATGAATCGTGCCTGGTTCATTGAACAAATGCACTGTCGCTCCGACATTACCGACCGACGTCAGTGGGTGCGTCAGCATAAAGAGGCTTTCGCAGTTCACATCATGATGAACATCCTCTGCAGCAATACCCAACAGGCTTGGAATTCGAAATGTGGATTTGAGGACATCCTCTTCCACACTGAAGAGCATGGAGAGGGCTGTGTGGCGGAATTCTGTGCTTGCAAGCTCTCCAAGATCCTTCAAGCAACGCGACAGGATTCCACCTGTGGACAGCCTTTGCCTACCAATAAATAGACAGCCGGATGGCCCACAAATCCGCACTACTAAGCTGAGTGCATGTGCATCAAAAATTGCATTTAGTTTTTCTTTACATGAAAAAATAAATGCTAGTGAATGTGTCAGCCTCGAGTTTTAATTTCAATAGGTCTATTCAACCGATGTTCGTGTCAAGCCGGGACTCCTTTGTTGAGGCTGTTATGTGGGCACTACCATGGAGGTACCGCACAAAGTAGTACGTTGTGAGCATGCCAAGTTATTGTGACATGATCCAGTCTAGTAGAGCATAGACTAGAATTGACTAAACACCGTTTATTACAATGGTAATAGGGTAGAGTGGATTTGACCGAAGTTTCCTCTCAACGATGTCTGCGGCTTGGATGGTGATGACAACTTTCGTTGCTAAGCATGAAGACATTTTAGAGGTATCAGAGGTTTAAAGAAGTGTTGGTGTAGGTCTACGATTGATAATGAGGGAAATGTTGACGCCCTGGAGACCCCAGCTTGTCGAAATATATCACTCCTGTGAAGAAACATTCGACCATGGCATGGGACGACCACATTTAACCGTATTGACAAGTATTTGTGTCAAAATTTTTAATGCAAGTCCAACGTTTAAGTGTTTTGCTACTGTGAAAGAAAATATGTTGAAATTTTAATCTCAAGCATTCATTCTGCCAGTTTTGTTGACAGTCCCGCCTTGGCATGAACACCGGAGGTGGCGAATGAAGAAGAGGTCACTTAAATCACAAAGCATCTCCATCCTTGGAATAAAGAGCATCAATCTATTATTAGGTGTCAAAGAGCCAGGCTTTGAGTAGTGGCTTAAATGACATTGACAAGACTTTATGCCATCAGCCTGATAGCCGAGTCGTGGAGACTACGGTATGTCGGCATTCTGAAATTACGGCGAGGCCGCCTTAAGGTGACAGTCCTTGTAGAGGCACCTCTTAGCCCTTCTTCAAAGGAGCTTTATTAGGTCTGTTAGTCAATTCCTTTTATTTGTGAATGAGTGGGGCTAAACGATGGGTTCCCCACTAGGGGCATTGGGGAGCCCCCCAACGTCTCCGCTCGTCATCCTTAGACTTGCGTCCCCATCCTAAACCTAAGCACGTATGAACGAGGTTATTTAACAACCGTCTGATCAGGGATGCGGAACTGTGGCGGCGCGTTTGCCTATACCTCAGCATCAACCTCACCACACTCCTTTATCTGATGGCCTTACACCACTTTGAATGACCTCGACATTACGGTGGTCATTGCACCTCTAAAGAGCGTCTTTGCATCCTGTTGGTTCATGAGAGGAACTGGTCTAGAGTGTGCTGGAGCTGGGAGGTGGGAATGGGAGAGAGAGCTCAAGTGCCCTACTTATGTATGATTTCAGGGCTCAAAGAAAACCTCGACAGCCTCAACGTCTACAGATTCGCCCCTTGATTGACACCAAACGCGTGCCAACTTGGAATCGCCATATCTTTAGAAGGCCTTGACTCTTACCTAACGCCACGAGGGGTCGTAAACCAATCATGTGTCAAGAGACAGGAGCCACCGCTGTTCTGTGTAGCTGGGAATCACCACGATCGGCAGGTGTCAGCGTGGCGGTGTGACCTTAACGTCAGAAAGACCAAATTAGCTTCCTTTTTGCGCAAACTTTCTTTCCTAATCGTAAAATAACACCCGAACTCAAAGGATGGAGAAAGTCTAGACCCCTTCACCTCTCAATCGGATAACTCAGATCTCGCCAACCGTATTTGACATGATTCCACCCCTTCCCTCAAATGACGATGCGGCAATTCGGTGCGTGAAGCCATTTGAGGCTTCCCTCCGGACACGTGACCTTGAATCGATTTGGTCCAAATCACCGGGCAGAAGGCAGGCGGTATAGTGTAATTGCGTGGACTAGAACAACACCTCTTAGTGGATTCTTCTAGCCATGCCAGAACATCATCTAACCTGCATTCCACATCAACCCTACAGCGCAGCAAGGCATGCAGACCTCCTGATTGACCTTTACTATCTGGATCCTGACACACCTATGATGATATTCACCTCGGACTATAGTTGTTTAGCAAGTGGAAAAGGTTGCAAGATCCCCGTATTTATCGGGGGTCCCCTGATGCTCCTACGTCGTAGGCAGGGCGAGGAGATTGCCAACAGCACCGACTCCTTCATCAGCCGTATTTCTGGCCGTCCGGCACTCCATCCAACTCCAGAGATCTGCCAGTGTGAGGTGTGCCAAGAGGTGAAGTGGCTCCTCAAGGACTGTCGATGCTACGATGACTGCCAAGCTCGATGGTGTTCACGGGACAGTGTCTTCCTCTTTGAAATTCTCAAAGAGGTGTTGAGTCGACTGAAGCAAAAATTAGTACCCTACTCTTTGATGCACTATGAATTCGTCAAGATAAGCCAGTTCTTTATTCCCCAAGCTGCCTGTCCCCCCGGCACCGATGATGAGGCGTCGTTTAAGCCGAATGAGGAGTTCGAGGTCTTCCTCAAGATGCAATCCTTCCTTATCCTCAGGGATTTACAAAATCAGGACATCTACACTGATGTCCTCTGCTGTGTAATGACGAATCTGCAACGCATGCTTCGAGCCTATGTAAACGGTGAATTGAAATGTGCGGAGGGGAAGCAGGAGGACTCAGACTACATTTTTCGTGCACTCGGTAAATTTCCAACGGAGGTGTCAAGAGCAATGACCGGTCTCTCCGCTGCCCTCTCGCCACGTATAATTGACCTAAAGAAGCATTACTACGTGCCTTGCGAATTTATGACGTTTGTTTCAGCCCGAGACGAGCTGGATTCGTACTTGTGGGCTGCAATGAACTGCATGAGAAGCCTCTTGGTAGCGAATTTGATAGAGCCCTTTGACAGGAGTGCTGAATACAAAGTAAGACAGGCAATTATGTCAGATGAGGCTGTTAAGGAGTACGTTGAGACCGTAAACAAGGTTTAAGTTGCACACTCACCTAGTCGTGTATGTATTTATGTTTCAATAAACCGCGCCTGGAGGCAGTGGGACCTCTTTTTGCCTTGAATTGGCGCTCCACTGTCGCAGATATTAAGGTGGAATGGTAGTATATAACAGCTGACTAACTATCTATCCATCAACCCTTCCATCTAGTTCTTGTTTTCTTTTCGGACCCTGTCAATCCATTTTCGCTTGGGTACTCATAATGCCTACTCATCCATCCATCTGTGCATTCATATTGCCTTCCTCCATTCATTCCGCGTCAAGATATATTTGTTTCCGTCAAAAAATAGGAACGACTCCATACGATTTTAAGACGGCTTTCTGTCTAATCCCTAATTCGCCATCTTGCTTTCATCTAGAATCAGAAGTGGTACCTGCAAGATTCTCGGAAGCCTCCGAATCACGTACTGCTTGGTATTTGCGGTCAAGGGATGTTTACTTAAGTTGTGTCCACCTATTTACTCAGGTTCGTCAAATTCCACCGCCCTAATGACACGACGCTCAAACATGCTCCATTGGTCATGGGGATACCGATCCCATACAGTCCATAAAGTTCCCAAGAAAGCCTCCAGCGCGATATTGGTGGACGTTAGTAAATTTCACGGCGAATTTCCCGGTCTTCTAGACTGTCGCGGCTTCGCTAGCAGCCGCCATATTTGCTGATTTTGAGCAGAGGACAAGAAAGGAACAAGCCCTGAAGCCGCAATGTTCCTGCGGTATTCGTACTAACCACCTGGCCAAATGAAGACTTCTGCCTGGACGACTTTGTCTACCTATCACTCCAGCTTAGAGACTCAACAGGATCCAAGCTTACCTACGGGAACAGAAACAGCGACTTCATTAGCCTAGGTACTTCTGCGACGGTATACCCGCGTACGAGTTGGCCAGCAGAAGTGTTTAGAATGACCTTGACCCTTCAAGTAATTATTAGCACACGTCAATCCTCTGCAAGGAAATCTTGACCTGGCAGACAAAGTTTAGAAAGAGGACCACTCGCACAATGCTTTCTAGATCGTATGAGGAAGAGGAACTCGTTTTCTGAAGTTGTAGGCATCCCTACCACCAGCGCTTTGTCACTTCTTTCAAGCACCATTGAACGTAGATTTGACACGTCAGACGCCGCTTTCATGTCTACACAATCAAGGAATGAGAAAAACGCATCTTTCCCTACTAGTTGCTAATCACTAGGATCAGTATTTGGTAGAACTTATGGGCTAGGTAGCAAAGCCGACATGGTGCTAGCTTCGGTACCTTTGGAAGTTATTTTGAAGGGGTTCTTAAGGTTGACAAACTAAAACCACATTGAGAGGAGTGGTTTAGCCGACACCTTATGACAGGAGGGTGGGTTAAAATGGAGAGGCGTACGCCAAAGAGCGCAAGAAGGAACCCTACATCGAGAACCTAGGAATACCTTTGCTCGGGTGCGCACGCATCAACAAACTACCGCCTACCCACTCTCACACAACACTTGAAGCAGCGTCTACAAGGTGATGAGGTCCTTCGAGAGTGAGTAGTGAGACTTGATACGTTCACCCCCGGGCGTGCAACGTCTACCTCATCTTCAGCGCCTAGTCAACGCATAACCAGAAAATGATCTATCTTGAGAGAGGAGAATAGATAGAGACCTCTATGCGAACGCTGAACGCAGTCGCTCATCGAAGGATGAGGCCACACTGTGTGCTATGACACCTCTCCACCTTTGACGGGTAATAAGAAGAAGGACCGGGATTTTTCATCCTAAAATCACCATCTCTGCGAGGTTATGGAACCTGATTATGCGAGAAGGGAAGCAAGCTGTCCTAGGAGGAGGTGGTTCAGCCAGATGGACAGATCCTTCTACCTCAAGCCTTCAGACTGCTCCCATAGTTTAAGCTTTTCTCACCTCGTCTCGCCTTAGGATGAAGGAGTGGAGGTTAAGGAAGTATGTCAAAAGTCGGCGTTTTTTAGTGCCTCTTTTGTGAGTTTTTGCACATCCCACCGTCCGCCTCGGATACCGATCTTCTATGACACTTCGATTAGAAACGAGTAAATTCCCACCTAGACACCTAAGCCTATGCAGAAGGGCCCCCAGGATTGGCGCGATTGCCGCAATATGCAAGGCAGCCTCTACATTTTCAGCTCAATCAAACGAATAAAGGGATGAAAGGGTCGATCCAGAAATGAGTGACTAGATTTATGGATGGGTAAATGGTTGGATGGATGGACGAACAAATTAAGTGTCTCGCGGATGGAAGAATAGATGAGTTAATGAACTAGTAAATGGATGCCTGTAAGGCACTAGAGTCCAAGGGCTTCAACTTCCACGTCGGTCATCATCAAAATCGATAGTTCCTTCTCCAAGTTTGACATTTCACGAGGCTACTGTCACGTGTGTGGTGTCAGCGGCTGTGTACGCACAAAGGGTGAGGCTCAAGAATGGGGACATCCAGCAATGATTCATCCTTGACAAACCAGGGTCATGACCCCCTCTACGACCCGCATCCAGTATACAACCAATTCACTGACATAGTCACCATCCGCGTAGGCAGATGTCCCTTCGTCATAGACACCGAGGGCAGAGAACGGGTGCCGGCCTGTCTTTATGCTCTATTCAGAAACATCCATGTGGAACACTTAGCCACCCTCGATTTTGATGATCCGCACTCCTTCATTATGCTGCTTAACTACTGGAGGGCGGCTCCACCTCTGGAAGATGTTCGACTAGTTGCTCACTTCCTGCTGCGTGAGGCTCGCAGTGTCGAGGATTGTTTGGCGGTAGTTGAAAAACAGACGGCTCTCTTCAACTTCAATGTCCTCAAAATGATCTTAAAGAAGACCAGGCCACCCATTCTCTACCTCGACTACGATACGTGTACAACTATAGATGAGTCAAACGTGGTCTTTCCGCTGGGCACCTTTGCTGATTCCAGAATGGATGGCCTCTTTCCCACAGATATGGCCAATGAGGACAGGTTACAGCGGTACTGCATGGAAACCAACTCGGTGGTCTACCGCCAGCGACTATCCATGCAGATAGCTGCCATTAATTGCTACGTTTACAAAGACTTAATGTGCATACCATGCGACTTTCATCGCGCCGTGGTACGTAACATCTTCTACAACCTCTGTATCTTGGTTCGTGAGGTCGCCCTCAGGGAATTCAGAAATCATCGTATTTCAGGCGGTCCATTATTCATGCCCAGGGCGGTATTTAAGAGCAAGTACCTTCGTCTAATTATTAGCAAATTAACCTACTATATTGCGGAGCAGTTAATCTGCTTGGATCCACGCTGGGTGGCTCAAAAGTATGCCCAAAGCAATGTGTCGTCGTATGTGGACACGCAGGAGTGGCTAGATAACGAAGAGGCTAAAATGAAACGCAGGGCAATGATGAATATACTCTGCTGTAACATCAACTGCCTCTGGCTACGTGGCTGCAAATTGGATGATTTTCGTTTCGACGACGCCTCAAGTGCCATTGTTGATCTATTCAAGGCAGAGGTGGCGAGACGGTTTGTTCCCCTGACTCCTCCCGCCGGCCCTCCAAATCAGTGAGGAGGGAAGAAGAAGAAGACGTGCCTAGTCACAACTAAACCAAATCTGGTTTTGTTAAAAAAGGCAATAAATCATATGAAAGGTGGCCGTTGCCACTAAACCAAACTCTACTTATAATATTTAAGTAGGCGTTTTTGCGCCACCTTCCATAGTGAAAACGAGGGTACATGTGTAAGCGTTACTGAGTGCCAGTTTGGCATAACTTGCCAGATTTGTAATAGAACTCATTGCGTGGAGGCAATTTCACCTCTGAAGGTGTTGGAAGGCTACAATAAGCTTACCGTCCTCGCACAAAAGTGCTAGAATTTTATTAGCTTATGTGACATGAACATGATGACAGTGTGATAGGCAAAACATTAAGCTTAAAAGCTTCTTTAAGCCAAGCCAACAATTTTTATTTGACTGGCAAGGATAAGGGGGAATGCCTTGGGAGGAGGGTCCTGCAGGCACCAGTGTGTGGAAAGTTACTCCCCTTACCACTTCTGGTAATCGATGCACGAGACCCCGATTAATTTCAAGCAGATAAAGTCACTTAAGTCCAGACCAAACTGGACGGATCAGATCAGACCGGAACAGGCAATACCGGTAGTGCCTTCCTTTCACCGTGCAACTGCGTGCAGGGATAAGTGAACAATTCTCTTAACAAAGGGGTCTAAATAAACCATTTGCCTCACCTCTTCTGGTACAGAAACCTTAAAGCAGGAACTTTAAGGGGTTTAAGGCCCTCTATTATTAGGTAGTGCGGCATCTGCCGCACCCACCTTTTACGGTACTGACAGTCTCTGCTCGGCACTGATAGCTTCCTTTTCAATGCAAAGGTTGGCTAGGCCCTCATTGTTACTGAGTACGATAAAAAAGGCAAAAGTCACAGAAGAGGTCCAAAGATTAAATAAACTTTATTCGCCTTGCATCCACATTTGCACCACATTTGTACATTTTCATGTAAGCAAATTTCCAAAGTAAGGGAGCCAAGTTGGAAACGAGGCAGGACGAGGCGAACCGGTGGATGATGGAGGGAGGGGCAGGCAGCAGGGAAGAGAAAGGATTTAAAAGTTAAACCTTATCTTCTGCTGCAATCCATGCCTGATATCTGTGAGGCGACGTAGCAGAGACAGTTACGCGAATTTCTGGGACAGTCAGGCCAATGATTCAACTTCTGTGACAGCGTCTTTAACCTGTCAAACACCTCAGGCATATTCATTGCCATTAAGTTCTCCATCGCCTGCACCAACTTCCTCTCGTACAGAAACTGTCTAGCTATCGCATCTTCTAGTGGTGTATTTCCTGCCTCTGCTGCCATCATGATTCTGTTCATGTCTAGCTCGATGAGAGAGTGACTGAGAGCCGTGGCCAATAGCCTTAACATCTCTATTACTACAAGCGGTTTGTTCCATGTTCCTGGAAGGGAGTAAACCGGATCTATGGGTGAGCTACGCCTCAAATTGGGCTGTAGTCTAATCATTATCAGTCGAAAAATATGTATAAAGTTGGTCAACACAAAACCGCCAATAATGGATCTAGGCGATCCTGCAAGGTAGTCACGATGAATGAAGACGATCATTATGTTGATGAGCTGCAACTCCGCAAATGTTAGCTCAGAGACATGTTCTGGTTTTTTGGGCAGCAGTTGACGAATGTTTAGGAGATAGGGTGGATTCTCTTGTACCTGGATAAGTTCAATCGAATCGAGGAGGGCAGTAGTTTCCCTCGAAAATGACAGCAGTTTCGGTCTAATTCGGGTGCAAATCTCTCGTAGCACCTCGAACACGAAGCCCTGGGATGTCCCTTGAAAGTGTTGCTTGCATTGCCTGTAAGATGTGCAGTGCCGTAGTAGCCAACGGACGGACTTGCAGACCTCGCACGCGGGGTGCATTGGAGTGGGGTCCGAACGCGGTTCGATAGAAATTTCCGTGAGGAATGTGTGAGTTGCGTAATACCAGGACGGATACATGTTGCCCTCAAACAGGATCATCATGGGACCAGCAATGAAGAGGGGAATGGGAAAGCCGTTCCGGTTTCTGAAGGTGTTCAAGTCAGGAGAGAAAGCCAGGGCGGGTGTCGATGGCGGCAAGCTTTCCAGACTTATGTAGAGGTGTTGGTGACGTTTCGGTTGGAAGGGTGGATGTTGCAGGAAGGTTAAATGATGTGGCATGATTTCCCCTACTTCACTTTACCACTCTGCTATAGGTCGCCGCGTAAAGTCATTGGACGCACAATTGCGGACATTCAAAATCGACTAGAGGTCACGAGAACGCTTATCACAGTGTCACGCGAAGCAGGCAGGTCGACACCTTCAAGAGATAGAAGGGTCTATAAATCATGCTTTAATCTTACTTTAATTCCAGCATTGAATAAAACACTTGAAGATCTCCGGCCTAAGAGAATTTGTCAAAAAAGTAAAAATTTTCAAACTTTAACCTTAAGAGGTCTATTTTTGGGGACCTAGGCTTCGGATTGGCTGATATTCTACTGCTCAAGATAAGCCGATATTATAAAAGAAGTGCATCCAACGTGGTAGTAGCTCTTTTCAAGAAAAGGCCTTTTTTTAATAGAAAGCTCTTTTAAAAAATTTCACTACACAGCTTCATAAAACCCCATTTATTCGTAGCAAATCTCAAAGCAGGCACTGCTCTACTAGGCGTTCAAATTTGGCTGTCAAAAGCCGACATCGTCTAGATGACACCTTCAGCCGTCCCTTCGGTATATTTTCTTTGACAATTAAGCTTGACATCCATCCAATGAAATCAGGAGAGTTCCTAATTTGGATCGTGTTCACTATTATTTGAGGTGTATGAGTTATTGAGACAGCGGTATGAATGGCTTGCTAGGCCACCAAAACCAATGGCATAAACAAAACTCCTTGGCGTGGGAATATCTCCTCATCGAGGCAAAAAGAGAAGTAGAAATTAAGCAATGCCTGCAAAAAATTTGCCTTTTCCAAAGGTTTGATGATGGCTTCAAAGCAGAAGTGAGTTTAGTGTTGAGACGAGAGTATAATATATTAACTACTTGCATCCTCTCAGTAGCACTGCAAAAACATGCCAAATAAATGGCATTCAGAAAAACTGAATTCCGAAATAGGAGGTTGTAATCCTCCGAAGATCGCCTTTCACCTCCGTGGATGATAGCTAAGTGAACATCATCAGGAAGCAGAAGAGGTCACCAAAATACTTACTTCCTCAACTCAGCAATATCTCTCTGCGCATCACCACATGAGACGTAATTACGGCATAGAAATCTGCCAGGAGTCTCAAAACCCATCTGCGTCTGGCCTAATGCCTGATTTTGGCATATCGGATAGTGTTGCGAGGGGGAAGTCAATTTGAGCGCCTAAAGAGGGCTGGTTTGAAGCGCGATGCTTACCTCCACGTGACACACAAGATCGGTCGATTTAGGGAATCGGGGGTGCGCGTGTCCTTGTTTTTCGTTTGTCCTATTAACAAGGATGCAGAATTTTCGCCACTTTTCCAACGTCCAACATTCCCCATTTGATCCAGTGATTGACGGTGGCCTCTACATCGACCTGGAGAGTTTACCACCGGACACTCCAACAGTTACTTTAGATGATAATTTTGCCGTAGAGCCAACTGGAACCATTCAAATTCCAGTCTTCATTGTGGGTCCCATGGTGGCTTTGAGTTGGAGGTGTGGAAGGCCATTTTCAGACGATAAAACCAACTTTATTGACAGCCTCGATTTTAGTCTGGTATACGACCCGACACCAGAGAATCCCGACTGCAAAGTCTGTCAATTAGTAAGATGGCTTTTGACGGAATGTTCGTCCTATGCAACCGCTGTGAATACCATGTATTCCGAGGACCCAATCATAGTTTTTGAGGTTATGCGAGAAATATGGAGTCGTTTCACCACCAAAGTTCTGCGCTTTTCGCAGCGACATCTCCGATACGCGAGGAGTATATCCTACCTTTTACTTCCACTAGATCCTAATTACATATCCCCCTTGGGTCTGGATCAGCCAGCAGAAAACATGGAATGGCCTGATCGTATGGTGGCTTCATTGGAATGGACAAATGGATTCATGTTTTTACTTCGCGATGATATTGGCGAACGTGGCATATACAGCCACGTAGCGTGCTTCATCTTCATCCATCTTATCAATTTTCTGCGCGCCCATGTCGTACCTTTGATACACCCGTTGTATAATGATTTGCTTCCCCAATTCCTAATGCTACATGCAATCCGAGATAGACCAACAGAAGTGAATCGAGCAATTGCAAAACTTACAAGAGCAGTCTTCCTTGTGCTTACGGAATTTGACCCGGATTGGCTTCCACAGGAATACACAATAACCACGCCACAGCGCAAAGAGGAGTGCTTCTGGTATCGCCATTTTTTGGGTCTCATGGTGGAAAATATTTTTGCAATGAACGTGTGCCAGGCATTTTTTGCTGGCGTTCAAACTGAAGGTTTGTATGTGCATTTCGAAAATTGTGCAGCAGAACCAGAGCACTGTCCGTGTCGCTTTGCTAGATTTTTGGAAACAACAGCTTAGCCCCCTCCGTGCGAGCATGCTGATGCTCCGAATGAGGGCGAGTGAGCCGCATCATTTGACGAAACAGCGTGTGACCGAAATTAAAAGTCTTGGAAATGTCATGACATCAAGGCCAAAAACACAATTAAATTTAAATAATGAATGGTCAGATTCATTATGGACATTTAACGTTTGATTTCTTTTAATTTCATTTCGGGAGAGCGGGGAAGAAAATGTGTGCCATGCACAAACCATCAAGCAAATTATCGCGGAACTTACTACTTATAAACTTATAAATAACAAGGAATTTTTGAAAAAGTTTCCAGGATTTTAGAAGAGCTGCCAAACCTTCATGTAAGGGGTGAGGTCTGGCTAGTCATAGTATTTATTTTACGACCCCTTTTGACATGACAATAGCCTATGAGAATAATAGATGTAAGGAGGTTAACCTGTTAAAGTCTTGGTGAGAATTAAGGTTGACGAAATGCATGCTTCGCAAGGGCGCGGGGAAACAATAAATTCGTTCCATCCTCAACAGCGATGAAAACGTATCCAGTAAATTACCAGGACCACCGGAACAGTGGCTCCTGTTTGAAAGGTTGTTTGCTTGGCTAAGCCATACCTTGACAGCTCTGGGGCGAATTTACCACTTTAGATGCGAAACCTGTGTCGGATTAGTTTCTTAAGGAAAAGAAGTATTTAAAACCACCTCACAAAAGTAGTTCAGGGGCTAAACGGCAATGTCAGTGAAAAATTGTTGACTGTTTATTGACAAATCAAATTCAAAGGTCGAATTCTGCTGCCTCTGTTAGTCAATAGTGGATCGAATGACTAGTCACCTAAAAAACAACTTCCTTAATAGCATCAATTCATCTCCGTCGAAATCCCTTCCTTTAATTGGGCGAAAACAACCAAGAAAATATTGGGATTGGCGAGAGGGAGGAAATATCAGTCCTCTATTGTGCGTTGATTAGGCCACAGACAAGCCAGTAATTACTGCTTCTTCCGCCATCAATTCAGGACATGTGAGACCGGAGGGGGGAGAGTAGGACGAGAGGGAGATGAGCAGTGCAGGACAGGACAAAACTGGGCAAAGATAGAGTGGGGATGGGGAGAGCCTTTTGGCAGAAGCGAGAAGAGATTGGTGGACCAGAAGACCAGAGGATCAAACAAAGAACAACGCTGGCGCCCCTGTGCCATCAAGTCCGCACTCTTTAGACCTATATTTCTGACAATAAGGCGTAACTCTCTGCCTGTCTCCAATATATGCCTCCAAATGGAAAATAGACGTTAAGGCGATGCAAGTAAACAGATAATGAGTGCGTTAAGATTGTCTGGGGGCCTGGAGGCATGTGCCGTGCACAGCCGCTGTGGGACGCATAACATGCCAGACTCTTTGTCGCCATGGTCATGGCAGAAAAGCTTCTTTACCAGAAGGTATCTTGGTAGATATTCTGCAAGTGGAGGTACTAGGTGGCATTCGTAACCCATCGAAAATCTAAAGTGATCACTAGGCACACACCAACTGTCACTCCGCATGGAGCGAACTACTAACAAAAAAACATTCATTGTATACAAAATTACATATTTTACACCCATCAACTCCATTTATTTACACCTTTCTGTCTGTTTATCTGCTGTGATTTGACTGAGTGCCAACCACAAATTCACGTTGGCACGGTGCCTTATTTCGGGCGGAGGCGCGGACGTGAGTCTCAAATTGAGAACGATGACGCCGATGATGACGACGACAACGAAAACACACGGTCTGCTACTTCTACGACACGATGACGACAGTCAAGAAGGGGAGCTCGCCTGTCCAAAAAGCACTGCTTGCCAAGCCCTCTATTCCTCCCCTCCCCACCCCAATAAAAAGTGACTCAGACAGCTCTCAAAGAGGCGGCTTTGCCCACGAAGACCGCTTCCATTCCTTAACTGCGATTTGGTTCTGATTTTGTGCCAAGGATGACACTTAAACTAGCCTCTACACGGATTGTAACTTTGCCCAAGCAGATTTTGACCGGACAGGCCAGAATGAGAAATCATTGATGGGTAAAGTTGTGGTAACCAATAGGAAGAGAGCACATTGCCAGTAATTTTTAACATAAGGTGCTGTTAAATTTAAACTATTCTATCAACATTGTACACAACTGTTTTAATTGCGTTTGCAAAAAGTACAATTAGTGCCTAATTTGCTGAATGATTTTCTAAAAGCGACCTACGAAATAATCGACCAAATTGAGCTACATTCTGAATGGTTGCTACATGACCTCGAACCTGATTGGGTGAGTTAGTCAAGGATACTTCAACGTTTATTATTGAAAAAAAGTGAAATGTGCTGCCCTATTTTTTGAGAATCTAGAACTTGAATTAAGTTTAAGTAATTCCCATTCTAAAGAAATATCCATTTATTTCCTTAAGTCCCCGCTTAAAAAGCACAAAGAAACGGACCTGAGGCTTTGCCAAATTTGGTGAGGCTTTCCCCCCAAGACTGGTAGTTAACAGACTTCTCTTGTTGGAAGTATGCTTGTGTTCTTTTCTCTAGCACACACAGGCAAGTCCCTAAATCTCACCCACTGCCGTAAGACACAAAAAGACGGGAGAGACTGCCATTAGTGGTTTGAGAAATCCTTAAAGTGGAGGAAAATTATCCTGCACGACTTGAAATGAGTCAGCAAAACAGCAATAACGGCTTCGCTTCGGCAAAGTCGATCAGTAAACATGGGAAAATTAAGACCCACCACTTAAAGTAAACAATTAACAGGATATCAAAGAGTTGGCGCTGATCAAACGAGGATTTTGGAAAAATGGCAAAGAATATTAAAAGCTTGGGTGTCAGAAAGGCAGAACTATAGAGTACCGATTTGATGGCACGATGACGCCCTACGATGTTCTTTGTCTGATTTTATGCTTTGTTGGTCCTCCTGTCTCTTCTCGCTTCTGCCAAATAGCACTCTCCGCGCCTTTTCCGCCTTGCCCTGCCCTCCCCACCTACTCCGCCCATTCTTCTCTCCTCCCTCTGGTCTCACATGTCCTGAAAATGTAGCAGAAGAAACAGTAATTACAACGTTTTCTGTGTCTTAATCAGTGCACAATGGAGGATTGATATTTGCTTCCTTCCATTGCTCCCATCTCACCGTCCTCCTTTATTTATTCCTGGAAGCCTATTCGTAGTTGTTTTCGTCCAGTTATAGGCAGAGTTTTAAACAAAGCTGCTGAATTTGGGCTTATTTAAAAGTAGTGATAGAAAGAAAGTGGATTAGTGATTAACTTACTCATTAGTCAATCAATCAGTCATTGATAAAGGCAACAGGACTTGCCCTTTTAAGATGATTGGTTAATAATCAGCCAGTAGATTTCTGTTGACCTTAACACTTTACTCGGCCAACTTTACAACGACTAATAGCAAATTTCCTATAGGTTTTTTAAAGTATTTTATTGGCCAGACACACTTCCGTTATATTTGTTTGTCTAAAATATGCATTAAATTTGCACGTCTTGATGGATCCTTTTTCTACCCCAATGGACTGGCCGAAGGGTCACGAATTACAAAATATAAGTAAAATTTCTGCAAAAGGATTGGCAAGAGAAAGAGTACCTGCTTAAGCAAAAATAAAAAACCCTTCCTTTAACACCTTTTAGTCTCTTTTGTAGGATTTTTTCCTTCTGTGTTTAAAAAAGAAAGATATTTCACCATACCACAGTCTTCGCCATCATGATAAGGGAGAAAAGCAGAGTTTTTGTTTTCTTGTCTTTCGCATAGTAAAAAGACAAATATCATCTTGTAAAAATTATAAAGGTATTTGCTTCATAGCAGTGAGAGGTAAACCGCTGGAAATGATGTTTTGCTCACTTTACACTCGATTACGGTAGGCCTGGTACCTCCCCACCTTGGTGCCTGGTTTTTCAGCCTTTCAAAGTTGACAAAATTAACTACGACATCGCACTGATGTCAGCACGACAGAATGCACACCACACCTTTCCATCCCACACACGAGAGATAATTTTTTTACTTGTCTTCAGGGCGGTTCACGTCCAAGGGGACAAGTCGGCAACCCTTGGGTGGTAGCCAAGTGTACTCAACGTCACGACAGAAATACAAAGAAAACTGCACTCCAAGCTTTGACAGAAAGTAGTCACTTAATCTTCCTCCCTGACTCCCAAATGATGGATTGCTTGAGGTGGAAAAGTGTCATTCATGTATAACACAGAGCAGGGCTTATAAATTCCCTACTTTAAAAAGAGGACATTTTCTAAGGGGCTCATCGCGAATGGATAAATGTCTAGTTTTACACAACTTTTCAGAATGACAGTTTTATAGATGCACTTTTCCACCTTGGCAGTAAAAGCACATTGCGGACGAGATGAGACCGCTAAAGTGCATACACAAGAGTTTTAATTTACGTGCGGTACTTGTTTATCCAAAAGATCTTTATTTTCGGGAAATTAAAAAACCTTGTCTAGTTTTTTCACTTTTTTCACTTCTCGAGGGTTCATTTCTATGGTGGGGGGGGGGGAGGGAAGGGTCAATTTGAAAAGCCAATCACAAGCAACAAGCAGGCTGACTCAGTCGCAGTAATCGAAAGGCCGGATCACGAGCGGAAGATCCGAGTCTGCTGCTCTGGAGGAAGACATTCAGTCTCTTGAGATCTCACAAAAGACTGCAACGGTGGTGAAGAAACGGATCGGAGCAAGATTTCTCAAATACGATGATACTAGGTAGGAAATTTCATAAAAAGGTGTAAACCGCCCCCTAGAGGGGGAAAGGGAGGAGCCCGCTGTATTGAGTAGGTGAAGTTTGCTTTATCTAAGGAAGGTCCGTGCAATATTTTGCTTATTTGCAGTTTAGTTTGAATTTGTAGCCCCTTTGTTACATCGCTTGAACTACAAAAGCAATTGGCATGGCGAATGAAAGTTGACACAGGTCCAGATCCCACTTCCAAGGAAAATATAAAAGAGGCGTAAGCTGAAAATCTACCTTAATGATGATAGCTTCACTGGGCCATTGTGACAAAAGTTAACTATTTGGGTGATCGAGCTTTAGACTGATTTCGCTACTCATACAGACCGAAGGGGGTTTAGAGCCTCATAACTAGCGCCTATGGATGTACTTTTGTCGCCGCGGTAGCAACCATAAATTAACTTGTCAAGTCCTCTGTACGCTAACGATAAGGCTACCTCCATTTCACTGCGGTTTGGAGCACCCTTTGGCACCCATCTGACAAACTCGTTTTGCTCAATTTAAGGCTACTCTTGTCCAAAACCCAGGAATGTGGTCGTGACAGTGTCCAAACGGCAGTCTGGGATGCTCTGCGCCTGTCAAACAAGTAGCATTGTCAACTCCTTCTACAGCTGTCTCCAACGAGAAAAGAAACTCCCCTGCCATAGTGGGGATACGTGATGGTGGGTGTGAATTACTGCCCCCAGCACACTTCTTACTCGCTATTCAGTGGATGAGAGAAGGCTATCTCTTCCCCCTTGATCAATGTCATCCACGCCATCTGCAATCATCTTGGCCCGGCCTCGCTTCGCCCCGCCCTGCCCCTACCCCACCCCAACTCTCGTCGTAAGCCGTAGGAGTAGTTAACTCACAAAGCGGAGGCTGTTAAATGGCAAGGTCAGAAAAAAACAGAAGCCACCTCTCTTTCCCTTCATCATAGCTTTTAAGGAAGGTAGGAAAGTATGGCAAACCTAAAATCTTACTTCATGCCAATTGGCCAATGCCTTCAGAACATTTAGACTTCTCGGAAAATTCATTAATCCCCCCAATGTGACCTCCATCCCAAACTACGACCTCCAAGAAGATAAATGGTAGTAGAGAGAAGGTCAGCCTTTTGATTGACTGCTTCCTCAACTATATTATTAACTCACCTAGCAATGGTGAGCTAACCGCCATGATCTCAGCAAGAAAACGGTGACACAGGCACTTCTACCCCTAGTAGCAGCCATAAATTTGTCCAGAAGGATGATGGTGATGGAGGCTGAAGCACTCAACGCCAGGGTAGAAAATTAGGAACTGTAAAAGTACATTTACTAAAAAAAAGTTTGCTACTATCCTCTTTTTTGCCGTTAAAAGAAGCGGAAACTGAACTACACCAACGAACACTTCCAGGCAAGCGATCAAGTAAAACAACCAATCACAGCCGTGGAAGCGCAGTTGACACGGAAGTTGACCTAGCCTTGTCAATCGATGATCCAAGCTCTCTCTAGCCTTCGTATAGTTACCAACCTCAACAACTGAAAATCCCTGATGTAGAAGTGTTGATAAATTCCTTGTTGCCAGTGGACATAACTTGGATTTCTTTGTTCCACAAAAGGTTTGATGATAAAGCAGTGAATGATGTAGCGAAAGTCATTATCGCTCCAAAAATGCTCTTGGCTTCCATCCACCTCTCCGTGATGGTAACAGCCTTGATCTGACCCAATAAAGCACTCCTTGAGGTAAGGAGGTTCAGGACGAACTTGAGAACATCCCAGTTAGTACATCTGCCTCAATTTTGATGAACTTTATTTGCTTCTTTTGGCGATTTCCATCGCACTAACTCACCCTTGTATGCTATAGAAGCAGTCGATAGTCACCATCGTGGAATCGCGAACGCAGTGTACAGTCGAAGTTTTCATCTAAGCCGCAATTTGCTGTTGTGGAAGAATACGGAATGAGGTTTCATTGTGACTGCTGCTGGTGGTGGCGGTGGCGCGGTGTAAGAAAGCGACAGTTGAGACACTTGCACGTGGTGGGAGCTTTGTTCTCCACAGCAGATTGATAAAAAGGGTAAAAAAGAGCAGAGAAGAATAAGCGGTTGCTTTTTTTCGTCGGCCCAAAGTGATTGACGCATGGTCACAGCTAGACGAGCACACACGTCCACATGCCACCCTGGGGTGTTTTTCCAGTACCCTGCCCCATGGCTTTCCTTTCTAAGCTGTCCACCACGGCACAGGGCAAACTTTTGTTATTTATAAATGGAGAAAATTCCCACTTCGTTTTTTTGCGCTATCTGATTTTATCTTCGACCTTGTGGGAGGCACGTATCATCAACTGGTGGCAAGCTCTCGGCTGTTCTCCGCCTATGGCATGAAAGAAATCCTTTGCTGACTTTTGTCAGCTTTTAGTTGTAAAATCCCAACCTAGAAATGTCGAACAACAGAGTTAACCAGTCATTAACCTGGCAATCAACTCTTCCATAAAGGCCAAACATAAGTCCAATTACAGCGCGTGACCTTGGACCCCCTATCGACGAATCGGCTTTTGGATGAAGAACCGCCTCGCCAATACTTCCCTTTGTAAAATAAAATTTGCGTATTTCGAACTGCTGGTGAGGGTTTTTTGTTTATCAAAATTATGCGTCTAAAACATAACAGCGGCGTTGTAAAAAGCGTTCAAAAAGCTACCAGAACTACTATTGTTTAAATCCGTCCCTTGTGACACCCCAACTGCCTGGGCCTTTTAATCTCAAAGCCTGTCCTCAAATCCATAATGTCGGCTAAAGGCGTTAACAAAGGTTGCACTTTTTAATATTAATTTTAAAAAATTTACCCGTCTAGTCGGAAAAACCCTTTTCATGTGGAGTCATCTAGGAAGGAAAAAATGTGCTGGCCTTGGAACACGGGCTCTTCTAAAGCACCCTTCATTTACAATTACCTTTAAGGCAATAACTAGTTTCGTTGATAGATGGCTTGATTACCTATGTCTGTCTCCATTAATAATGCATTGCATTGCATTTAAGTAGTATGCACGAAAAAATGGCCAGTTTAAGTAATAAAAACTTTTATCGACTTAAAATTTGAGGTAAATTAATTTATTGGAATTACAAAGACGTTTTGCTAGGTTAGTACGCAATTGGTACGTGAATCCTATCGGAAAAATTCCCTAGATCTTGTCAGTAGGGTAACTAACATCTGAAAGCAAATTAATGCTCTGATTGGTTAGTCATTGGAAGCTCATTAAACAAGGTCATGACCAACCAATCAAAAAATGAGTCTATTGAAGGCAAAAAATGACAGCCGAGGATTCAAACTGGACCTTTAATTTCGTACATTTTTCAGAATACATTTCAAATTTTTTTGATCAATGATGTGGAATAGTAATAGTTGGAAGTTTTATGCATGAAAACGAAACTACTTCTTTTTGATTAAGAAGGAACCTGATCTTGAATGTAATCCAAAAAGTCAATCTTTCAGTTACACTCATTTCTCTTTCTGGCTTCGGGTTCTTGGAAGGGAAAGCTGAATTGGAGGAGATCATCTTTCATTCGACCAGCATGAGCAGGGCTTACATATTATCGAAGCGTAGGGGAATCAGACAGTTTCCATCACGGGGGTGGGTTACGTCTGCTCAGCCACGAGGTTTGCGTGGACGGACCGCTAGTCGGCTAAAAGAGGTATTTTCAAACAAATATTTTACGGGTACCTAGATGACGATTAGAATTTAGACAAACGGTGGGGATTAATTAAAAGGCAATTACTCAAAAAGTCAACCTCTGAGTTCATGATGTTGACAACCTTCAATCATACAGTCATTTACGCAGGCATCCGGCTTTTTTTCTGTTTATCGTAGAGGGTAAATTAACCGATCTTAGATCGGAATACGACGGCTAGATGTGGCGTCAGGAGTTACATAAATTATCCGTCCGATTTCTGCATTTTTTGCTGATTCCGAGATCAACGCACCGACTGCTGATTGGATGGCGAAAACAGAAGAATAGGTCATCAATCCGGTATTCGGGATAGCAAATCGAGCAGTACGACAATGATGAACACTAGGATCTGTGGTGATAACTCTTAACTGAGAACAATTACTGGGTCCATGATAACAAGCAGTATGAATTTGTCCCTCAAAAGTCCTTAATTACTTGGACCGCTTTATAGGGAACAAGCTTCCCTGGCGGTCATCATCCTTGTCACAGGAGAAACAGCAATTGGAATTCGGGCTAAAATGACCACAAATGGCAACCGCGTTTGATGTGGATGTTCTAAGGGCTCGAGGCCGCTGGATAACTCATTAATTCCCCAAGGTGTTCTTCTTTTCTCCCCTCGTGTGTGTTTGTTTATCCCCTTCATCTCCGTCCCAAATTATATTCACCCTCAGAGGCAGGCAGGCAGTTGGCTGATATTAATTAAAAATTCCTTTACAGAGCGGCCTTGCTTACTTCAAAAAGGACTCTAGGTGGCCCACTGAACTGTTCTTGTGTTCGCGTCAGTGTCGGTGGGCTGACCCATCCAAAATCCAGTTGAGGAGGTTTTTTCTTTCATAAATTAATTAATCCGAGTGAGTTTTTGTTGAGAATGAATGCAAAGCCGAATTTGCTTTCATGCTCTCGGTTGGTGGGTGGGTAGGTGGAACGGAAGCATACGCTCGTTTTATGTTCAGGGGCAAAACTTCACCTCTACTTAGCCACAAAGCCGAAAGTAATGTGACCTTCGGGGGAGGGGAGGAGGGAGGGGGTTTTAATCTCCCTTTACAAATGAATCACTTACTACTAATCAGCCCAGTTTTGAGAAGGTGCTTTCGACCGCACTCTTGAGTCTGTCCTTGACATGTTGGGTGGCTGTGTTGAGACGTAGTTTGACAACGTCTCCAGTGGATCACACCGCAATACCTGTTTGTTTGAATGCGTCCTTCGGGCGGCAAGAGGACAAATTAAACTAACCTCGTGAATGGGCAGACCTTACTGGTTCCCCTAGAGGAGACGAGCTCTGTCTCTCTGATTACTTGTTTAACCGCCATGCTACATCATGCAGGATGTCTTCCTCTAACCAGTCTTTTCGAGTGAGGGACCTTAAACCGGATGGAAGAGGGGAAGGGCAACAAAAATAGCAGTGAATGTTGTCAAGCCTAGTTGAAGTCCAAATTTCCTACCTTTAACATTTTATCAGACCAGGTTGTCAGACCACATAATTATGGCAGTAGCGTCTTGATTACGGTATCCCTGTTAACCTTTGCGGCATGTCTACACCGACTTGTCAGCTTACAATAATTAGATTCATTTGGATTTTGCATTTTGCCTCAAGATCTGAACCATGGACGCGTAAGAATCTAGTTTTTAACACCACATTGCATTGACAAAGACATTCTTTACTTATTAAAATACCCGTTTTAGTGGTTATCCGTTTTGACAAACCAGAATTGAGTTTAGGTTTAGGGATCACTGACATCTGCCGGCTATTCGACCCTCCAGCATTGCCTTTTCTGATCTGTTCTCTAGTATTGAGGTGGAAGTAAAAGGTAGGGTCGAAAATGGGGGTATACAAATTATTCGGCGTCTAGAAGGTCGTCCGAACGCCCAAAATCTTCCTCTTACTCCTATACGAGATGGTGGACCTACTTAATGGCGCCGCTATTAGCGATGGCAGATTATCTAAGTTTTTATCCATTCTTTTACGGCCCATGAAAACGCTTTCAGTGTACAATCCTTTGCACCTAGGATTCATCTGTGGCGTCTGGAGTCCTTCCTTGTGTCCTACCAGCCTACACTAGCATGGAAGATAGCTGGATGGCTGAATGGCCATAGGCACCGACAAATTGCCAAGCAGCTGACAACTGAAGAGTCTGTGCGGTTGGACATGCAGTAAAGCCAGCAAAATAACATCCCACGTATTTCTCAGATTTTTGGTCAAAAAACTAAACCAAATCCATTCTAAAGGCTCTTTATTTTTTATCTAAATAGCAGAAAATTAAATTAATGTTAATCAGTGTCCATTATTATTAATAGAGACTAAAACCTTGTTATCTTTCTCCTTAATTTAAGTGATGAGAAAGCAAAATTTTAGTTGGAGAAAAAAGGTGAACAATGGAGGAAAAATTTAAGTGGCAGAAAAAAACATTTAAATGTCACAGGCATCGGAAAACTATCCATCTCTTACAATGCCAATGGAGACGGTAACGTGGTTTCATGCCACCACAACCCATTGTTCAGGTTCTTTTAAGATATTCGAGGGCTGACGAGTAGGTGTTAAGCAGTAGTTTGTTTTTTTTACAGCTTGGATGTTTTAGTTTTGAGCAATGAGGAGTCTGAGGTACCCATTATCATGTCCCCTGTCACGCGTCACATATAAGTGACGCGCGTGCTTGGTTAGTTTATGATGACCGGTTGTGCCAAATTGTGGGCTAAAACCAGGTCATTCAAACTTAAGACGATAAAATGGAATATTATACAGGCCATAAGTTACATTTTGTTAAGACATGATTTCTGTAAGACAGGTTTCGATATAGGTCAAAGAAAAGGGGAGCGACTTCTATAAATTTGTAGAAGGTCATTTCATACAAGAAAGAAAAAATACTAATTGCTAGTTTCTAAAGATGTTATGTATTGGCTCCTATCGAAAAAACTCGTTGGCCTGACAGATTGGTGCCAGAACTGTCAACTACGCGTCAAAGGGAAAGGAACAGCGTGCTGTCACACTGCGTGTTGTGGATGGATGTGCTTTGAGGACACGTATTCATCACCCTCGGCATTGGTGAACAAAGTTAAGGCAAATTTTTCTCCCTTGTTGAGACGTCTGTGAGCAGATTGGCCAACTTAAAAAGCGTCGCACTAGAGTGGCGAATGCCGAGCCCTCTGGACGTCCAGTCACTGTTGAAGACAAAAGAAGTGAAGAGCGCACTTAAAATCTGCGTTTAGAGATGTTTAGGTGACAGATGTGCAAGAGTAGCTGTAACACCGATACTTACAACTCTATCCGTTGTATTCTATTAAATGTCTCAACCAATGAATCGGGTTGTGTGTTGATCAGATATCTTCATTCAGGATGATGTTTACCAGAATGTCTGCGACCACGGTAACACCACGACTGGAGCTGGTACAGTCATCTCTGAAACCTTTTCACTACCTAAATGCCTCGCTGAGATTGAGCATACTATCATGATTCCTTGCTTGAGGTCTTCCTCTCCTTTCAGCAATGCGCACTGTCCAAAATATGGCATCTGGACTAAGCAGGGCTGAAGTAGACTGGACTGCCTCATGATACAGTGGGGACTTGTCATCCACTACTGTATCAAGTAACACCACAGGAGCATACCTTTTCAACCTGCAAAAGTGTAAGCTGCGTCTGAATGAAGGGCTACTTCTAATTTGACTGGGGCTAGTATCACTTTGGACCGGCTCAAACTAAAGCTGGTGACGTCCATTAGGTACCGGAAACCAGTCATCAGTATTGGCTAGACAAATAGGTGGTTACACCGTAATCATCCCCACTCCTCTAATCTGGCAAAGTTACGAATATTTTTACCACTTTAATGCGTAAATTAAAAGTGTGGTAACCACAGACTCCCCATTTCATCATTGAAGTTTCGTCCAACTTACCTCTAAAAATAGGAAATAAGTAGGCAGATACCTTTGGCAGAATCCTGTCCTTTCATTAATTATAAAATAAGGCTGTATTGCGGGCAAGGCTTTAGGCTAAATTTTTTTTCCGACATTTATGTGTCACCTTTCAATTAGGCTGTTACTGGCTTAATGGAATTTTCTGTCCGGACTTCCTTTTTAAACAGAGGAGAACTTTAATTAAGCCGGACGGTCGTGACAGCTAAGTTTAGTTAAACAAATGGTAAAAATAATCTAGATGGTCATATTTAATGTGTGTTTGTTTATTTCAGGGATGTTTAGGCCATACAGCAAGCGCAGAGAAATGGCAATGTGAACCGCTAAACATCAACTGAAAACAATCATAAATTAACAGACGTTGTCCCTGGGTTCGGACATTAAGATGGCGACTGTCAAGATACGGATCAGGAGGTTGGTTGATGTGTACTATTAGCAGGGATCGCTCTTCTTTGCACAGCCTGAGTGACAGGGGAGTGGGGATGGCTGACTTCTTTATCTGACAGATCGTCTTGATACACTGATTTCTTTCCCAGCTGATACAACGGTTCTTCCCCTCAAGTGTTAAGTGGTTTCCCAATGTTTACCTTAACAACAGTCGAAGTAGGCTCTTGGGATGACCGTGGCCTTCAAAATTAGGTAGTGAGGTTGATTAAGAAAGTACAGATTGTAGGGATAAAGACGAAAGGGCACTACAAAAATCATTGATTCATCCATTCATCCACTCATCCCTCTCTTCGCCCATCCCACGTCCATTTATCTGTCCACCCTCATCCATCCATCCTGTATCCATCCATTTATCCTTTATCCATCTGACCTGTATCTATCCATCC